ACATGTGCGTCTAATTTTGCCTTGTGTTCTTTCTGAAGGTGCTGCCAGCAAAAGGTTTGGCATTGATGAGGAACGAGAGGCTGTCCCTCTAACACTAAGCCTTGCATACAACAAGGTATTGTTCCCACACACTCGTTTCCTGCAACACAAGCAATAAGATGATGTTTAAATTCACAGCCTGGCGTATTTCCTTAATCTGTGACTCGGCAACAGGTGGCAATCAGTGGGAGGAGCCAGTGGATCAATAAAGAAATCATGTGCACATCGATTAATCTTCACAAACAGTGGAGGACACCTCAGCAGCTCGGTGCGTGTGATTCCCACTTCTTCTTTTGTTTTTTTCTTTGTCTTGCCTATGCTTTGTTGTAAGTTAAGCTATTCAAATATTGCCTGTGCAGATTCAGCAGAGAGCCTGCAGCTCACAATGACTGAAGTCCTGAAGAGGCAGTGCTCCAAGTCCAAAAAGGGCTACAAACAGGTGAGGGTGATATTAAATGTGATGACGTGCTCACTCTCCCTTTGAAACAACCCCCCTTCCCTTCCTCACACTTCTTCTCCCTCCGGCAGCACATCTCAGTCTCAGAAGTGAAGGTGGACAAGATGCAGGTGAATGGGAGAGATCCCGGGACGACGTTTGCTGTGTGTTTGGATCAGGATGAAAAGAAGTTTATTCAAAGTGTCACCAGGTATAAAACGAAGCATCACCTCTGACTTTGGTGGCAGAAAGAATTCCTCCTGCATTTTAAAGCCTTGGAAAATAAATATACTCTGATGCGTGACTTACATGAAAGGATCAAAGCAACGTGTTAAAATTACACTGTTACAAGCAAAAGATGTGGACAGATGTTGAGCTGCTGATCTTTCATATTTATAACTTGAAAAACATATCAGCTCAGTCTTTCATTTGCCCTCTTTCTTGGGACCCCTACACAAAGAAAACACTCTCACCAAACTTCAAAATACTTTAACTTCTAATAATGTCTTGGAGCATAAATTGATAACAAAAAATAAATTTAGTAATTTTATCCAGACTTCCACAAAAACCTTAGATAAAAAGCCCAAAGCTGGTGGATTTATTACAGTTTCTTTATGACCTTTCTTTTCTGTTAACAAAATACGAAAAATTCCCAAGACCCACTTTAAGCAACAGGACCAATTGGCTCATTTTAAAAGCATTTTCCAGACCTGCTTCTTCTTCTTCAGAAAGAAGGACACCAGATGAGCTGCTGCACTTTTGTATTTGTGCATTACTGTAGCATTAACAACAAAACCTTTAAGGTTTCAGCCCCAATTATGAAGCACAATAAATCAGCAGCACTTAATCTACTTGATTTAAATATCAACTGGACAAAGCTGAACCAAAGTGTGCTGTATATGTTATCTTTTGTTGTTGTCAGTGCCTATATACTATTTATACGCTGTCCTTATGTATATGCTGTATATATAGTAATTAGTTCACTGTCCCTGATTTATTCCATAATTTATTCCAATGTCTTTGCACTCAGCACCATTGCACAGCTACATACAGATATGCCACACATGCTGTTATTTTCTGTTTTATGTAATCTGTTAAATGCATTGAGAGAAAATGATGGGGATGGGGGGCAAATTTCTTTCTTGTGCCTCCTTTTTCTCCGAATGTGAATCACAACCTCAGCGTCTCCGAGTCTAATGCAGTGTTGCTCTGTCTCGCCCGCAGGTGTGAGGTGTCTCTGTGCTGTAAGCCGGGAAGCGGTTTGGACTGGAGGACCTACCAACCGCTGCTGGGCCAAGTTCAGCCTCTGCACCCATCCTACTGCTCTATGCTCTGCCTCCCCATCACCTCTTTCTCGTCCTCGTATCCATGACCAGCTCGGTGCCGCACTGAAGAAGAAGACAGCTGTGGGATTCTTTCTAATGCTGGGATGTTTGAGGACAGGGACACTGTACAGCTGGTGAAAAATAAACAGACTGACAAAGAGTGACATTTTTTCATGCGTGCGCCACAATTGAGATTAAGGTGTGCCGCCTTGTTGTTAAGGAAGTGTACGCATCTTTTTCTTCTGACACACTGGCACGCTCACTGCATACTGAGGAATGTGGGTGTACTTGTCGGTGTGTTGGGGGATTTTACAGGTTCTTGTCTTACCGGCACTGTTTGTGTAGGGGTGGGTTAAAATCTGCTGTGGGTGATTTGAAAACTGATTACTTGAGTACTAATGTGTACATTTTCAAGTCAATAATGTTGTGTAATAAACTAAGTTATTTATTCTCATGTGTTGTTGGTTTTTTAAACCTTCATGAGCATTGGCATTTCACTTTGTTTTTGTAGCTCATCCAACTGAAATAAAGACTACACTCATCTGTTTGGATAGTGACGTTTTGTTTCAGAATTTTATTTCCTCCAATAAGTTAATCACACCCTACCGAGCATGCTTAAAATAGCAATGTGATGATCATCATGGCATTATGTCAGTAACAGGAAGCAGCAGGGAATATTCAGGAGGGAACTGTGTTCATACTTACTTGAAAACGCTCGCTCGGACAGAAGCTTCTGTAGTAAGCTTTGGAGAAATGCTGCACACAGAGCAGGAATGAAAGTAACAATGCTTTGCACGATGCGATGTATTTATAGCTGAGCCAGTCATCGGACAACAAAGCAGAAGTGCACTTAACTTTCACTGCAGGGTATCAGGTATTTGTACTCAGTTCAATTTTTGTCGTTTCGGTTGCTGGGCTGTTGGGGACTAGTGCTGAACTCTCTCCTCAGAGGAGAGGGCTTTTTGTGATTTGTTCTGGTTTGAGTCAGCTGTGCTAAAATTAAGCCTTCAAAAACTCTGAAGAGTGGAAAGGATGGTCGATCCCACAGGTGAGAGTTTTCATTTCTTCATGGGCATTCTCGTTTCACCAGTAAAAGCTGCAGTTTCGGAGTCTAGAGAATGCAAACAAAATGTGTGTGTGTGTGTGTGTGTGTGTGTGTGTGTGTGTGTGTGTGTGTGTGTGTGTGTGTGTGTGTGTGTGTGTGTGTTTTAACAGCTAAAGAGGACCTCTCCTCCACTTGGGACTCCAGCTTGTGTGATGATGTCCAGGCTCTTTTCAAAGAGATGAAGAGCGAGAGTTGTTCCCACAAAGGTATCCACTACTGAAAGTATATAAGCGCGCTGAAATCAAAGTCTGAAGTCAAAGAGCAACATGATGGATTATTAAAAACTCGTCATCATTGCTGAGAAACGTGTTTGTCTAGTAAAACAGACGCTTCCGTTAGCAGATAGTTTGCATCAACACAGGCGATCATTTTAACAGTATTGTTTAATTACTAATTATAATAAATAGATTCTAAAACTGTGATATATTTCCTTTTCACTTCCTGTTTTCCTTCCCTTTGTTTACAATCTATTACACATACAGTCACTGGACACTTTATTAGGCACATGCTCCTAATACTGGGATAGACTCCTTTTCCCTGCAGAACTGCATTAATTCAACAAGCTGCTGGAAACATTCATCAGAGGTTTTAGGTGTATGTTGACGTGACAACATCACTAAGCTGCTGCAGATTTGTTGGCTGCACATCCATGATGTGACTCTCCCAGAGATGCTCTGTTTGACTGAGATCTGGTGAGAAGGCCTGAGCCTCTGATACAAAGCAGAATAGATCCATGCTTTTATGCTGTTTCATGTAAATTTTGACCCTACCACCCAAATGTTGCAGCAAAAATTAAGATTAATCAGACCAGGCAACATTTTTTCAATCTTCTGTTGTCCTGTGCAAACTGTACTGTAGCCTCAGTTTCCTGATTTTTGGTGGCAGGAGTGTCAGTCTGTTGGTGGGGCCCTGTCTGCCTACAAGGTTTAATATGTTCATATTTGCATTCAGAGATCCTCTTCACCTTGGCTGTAACTAGTGGTTATTTGAGTTATCATTGGCTTTATCAACTTGAAGCAATGTGCCCCTTCATCTCTCAATTCTGGACTCAACAAGACATTTTCACCCAGAGAACCGTCGCTAGTTGGATATTTTCTCATCTTCTGATCATTCTCTGGAAACTCTTGAGATGGTTTCCATGATCAGCAGTTTCTGAAATACTCAGATCATGGTACCTGACTGGCACCAACAACCATTCTGATGCTCGATTTGAACTTCAGCAGGTCATCTTGACCTTGTCCACATAATTAAACCCTTTGAGCTGCTGCCACGTGATTGGTGGATTAGATATTTCTATTAATGAGCAGATGAACACGTGTACCTAACAAAGTGGCCGGTGAGTGTAAAGTATTTACACATGACTATGTGACTCCTAAAGCTGTGATTTATAGTTTTGAGTGAGGGATACCTAATTAGGGGCTGCAGAGCTTAGTTATTTTAAGCTAATTAGCTAATAGTAGTGGTATCAACTTTCCACCCTTTTCACACACAGTGGGGTAATTTAGCTGCTAAAATAGATAGTCACACTTATCTGAGACAATGCAAGCAAACTACTGTCTGCCTGATTTGCAGGAATGCTGGTATGGAACCTCCAAAGGAAGGTGGAAGTCAATCCTTCCTGCAGCCTTTCAATAATCTCAATTCTGGTCCAAAAGCTGGAGAAGACGTTAACAACAGTTTCCAAGGTTTGTCGTCCTTCATCAAGTCTAGTCAAAATCAAGTTGTGCAGTTGTGCAAAAGCTGTGCATTTAAAGACTTTCTTTTCTTTACTTCTGCTTAAAAAGTACAAAATGAATTCAGATACTGAATTCTTGTTTGTCTGGGTTTTTTGGCTGGCGTAGCTCCATGAGAAAAAAACCTACATGTCTGTCAGCCCAGTGCTGCACACGCTCTACTATGTAGTCATTCAGGTAAGACGCACTTGGCAACACACAGCTGAAAATACGATATTGTTCATGAAAACACTGCAGCAACAGCAACAAGCTGTAAATAATGTACAAATACAGGCTGAAAGGCTTTTCTGTATTTCAATGTCCAGTCAGGTGTCACAATTCCTAAAGGTCTTTATCACAAAGCGTACGAGTGTTTGGGGAAACTGCTGATACTGCCATCGCCATACTCCACTGTGGCTCTGCACACTCTGAGGAGCATCAAGATGGAAATGACTGCACCAGGTATCACATATCCTTACACGCGTGACCTCGATACTAAAATCCGCCCTCACTCTTACCAGACAAACCCTTTCCTCAACAGGATCTCTGTACCTGAAGAGAGTCATCGCAGAGCAAAATATCAAGAGCGAGCATTTTGCTGCCAGGGAAAAGTAAGCAGGCCATATTGAAAGACCTCCAGGCCTGTATCAGAATGATTCAACTGTATATCGCAACATTATTGTCTCCTGCTTGTGTCCTGCAGAGTGTTTGTGCTGGCAGACCCAGCTGTGTTTTCTGTTTCACTGGAAGCTACGGTTAAAGCATACTTGGAAGTGTCACGCCGGCTCACAAACACACGGACTATGGAGAAAAGTGTGCTTTTCCATGTGCTGGAGACAGGGTTAGGGACGACCTGCCAAAGCTCCAGACTAGCTCAAGCTCTTGAGGTAAATACATCCATGAGGGTGCTTTGGACAAAGAAACAGTAGTGATCCCCAGAGGATGAATCCCATTCATTTTCATGATCCCAGATTTATTATTTACTATGTATATAAATATAAACATAAGCTACATGAACTAATCACCCATTAGTTCAAATGGTGTATATGTATAAATCAGGTTTCATTTTCCAGGTTTCAAAAACAGAACTTTAGTTCACGCCACCTTGATTTCTATAAATATAAAAAATAACATGTACTGCTCAGAAAAATAAAATAAAATCAAGGAAAACTTAACAAAATTAACTTTTTTTGCTGTGAGTTTGAGTCCAGCACTGAAAGGATTTGTTTTCCATTGCACGGTGACACGGTGGTTAGCACTGTTACCGCACAGCAAGAAGGTCCTGAGTTCAAATCCAGTTTGTGTTTATGTGGGTTCTCTCGGGGTACTCCAGCTTCCTCCCACCATCCAAAGACATGCACTTAGTGGGGATAGGTTAATTGATTCATCTATATTGCCCATGGTAGTGAATGTGAGTGGGAAACGTTGTCTGTCTCTGCGTGTTAGCCGTGCGACAGACTGGCGACCTGTCCAGGGTGTCCCTGCCTCTCACCCTATGACAGCTGGAATAGGCTCCTGCGACCCTGAAAGGGAGAAGTGGAATGGATGGATGTTCCTGTGTCATTTTGTTCCCTTATTCACATCAAGCTATTCATCAAGATCTGATGTGTTCCCCTAATTTTTTTTTCCAGGTTTTAGAGGACCATGATGTGAGGCAATATTTCCAGGATGTGGTTGAAACTGTGAAGCAGAGTTTACAGCATGGTCCCGGCAGTCGTGCAGATTATCTGAAGGGGCTGAAGCAGATATACAAACACATCTTGGCTGCCTCTGAAAAAGGTCTGAGTGTAGTGTGTTATAACACAAGTTATTCTAAGTGGAGATAATAATAATAATATTTCTTATCAACTTCTCTCAGATGTATTGCATGATGAACAAGGTCCTGTGTACAGCACTACAGTGCCCTTGCCAGAAATGAACTTCCTCATGTGGACAGATGAAGAGATGCTATGTGAGCCCATCAAACAAACAAGAACTGATGCTTCATATCTATAATCTTACCACACATACAAGAAGGCTGCAGTTTTACTTGAAACTGACGTTAAATTTGTCTTTCCTTAAGGGAATCTGTTGACAGACTTTGCCCTACCTTCTGGCTCCAACTCCATTAAGGATGACAAAGAAAGGATCTCAAGAGACAGCGGGATAGTGAAGGACTTAAAGGACTCAGACGAAGCAGAGCAGCTGCCTTACATGGCTCAAAAGACACTGTGGGAACGGAGAAATGCCTTGAAGAACTCAAAGTCTGCAGAAAAACTGAGTCTGATGGAGGAGAAGATGAAGGAAGATGTTACCAGAAACTCGCTTCTACTCAAAGAGGAGCGAAGTCACACGGCTCGAGTTGTGGTACTGGGGGATGACAGCACCCTGGGAAAGCTCACCAAGGCTTATTACATCATACGGTGAGGATCCCAAATACTGGAGTGTGTGTATGTGTGTGTGTGCATGCCCACTTTTAAATAAACTTTTCTAAAAATGTCCATACAGCAAGAAAGAGGCCAAACGTAACATGCTGACCAAGAAACTAGACCTGCAGCTGTACTACATCCCAGTCTCTGATGCAGAGGCTTCACCGAGTTCACCTGTGAGTTACACTGACACATTCAAAGCAGCTCTGACAGGTGTGAGTGTAGAGGACTACGTAACTCTTAATACTCCTCACAGGATGAGAGCAGGTTGTCTTTGGCGTCCTGTTTGGAGAGAGTGGATCCGTGGTACAGTGTCAACGTTAGCAGTCTGGGAGCTGCCATCCCGACGCTACCTGAGCTGGTAACCAACTGTAGCGATTACATCTTATTAATAATAACTATATGCAGTCCATCTAATCCTGTCCGCCCTTTGCACAGCCTTCTGTTTCCAGGAAACCGACAGAGCTGAGCCTTTACTTGTTGGACACCCTGTGTTACTACCTTCGCTGTGGGACACAGCCAGTTAACCTCCCGGTCTATTCAGTTAAGGTACAGCAGAGCTATCGTGTGTAGATATTGTGTTTTACATGCATTTAAATGTGGAAGGCAAAGAGCAAGGCTGGCTTTTCATGTGTCAAACATCGTAGCAGAATTCAGCTAAAAAGAAAATAATAATAAATAATGTCTATTTTTCTTACTTAAAGCTGGACTTGTGTCAAATCATGTAACTGCGTGTTGAATTTGAGTTTTAGAGTTTGGACAATGAAATGTTTTCCTGCTGATATGGGGACTTAGACATTTAGTATTAGACCTCCTGTGTCATATCTTTGTTTCATAATTTCTCACATTAGTTTTATTTGTGTGTGGATCTTTGTATCATTTTCAGTGAGTTTCAGTTCTTTTTCTCTGTTTCTAATGTAGTAATATCAAAGTTCACAGCCAAAACTGACTTGGCTTGTTCATTATTCCAATAATAGATGAGGGAACAGCCAAATTTTCAAATTGTATTCTTAAGCTCCTGAACCACATAGTTCAACTCACAGAAAGGTGAACCAGTCCCTGTGTTTGCATCTGAGGGTTTTCCCCTCTCAGGGATTCACTTATGCAACAATTTCTTGTTGTTGTTGTTGTTTTTATGACTGTAACAAATTTCATGTTGATCTAATTTAAATGCTGTGTTATTTTTGGAAACTGTTTTTTTTTTCAAGTTTTAGCATAAAATATTTTTCCTACAGTGTGTGGATAACAAATCTGAGCTAAGATGAGAGAAAATGTTTCACTTTATCCACTAGGTGGACCAAATCAGAGTACAAGAAATGTTGATCTCAGTTCATAATAACTTCACAAGCTTTTTGGTGACATGCACTGGCCAGTTCATTAGGTACAGTTTGCTGAATTCATTATTTATGAAAAAGATTCAACAAGATGCTGGAAACCTTCCTCAGAGATTTTGGTGTGTTGATCCACGATAATGTTCAGTTTTGGTGAACCCATTCTAATTCTAAAAGTATTGTGACTCTGATTGTAGATTTAGTTTCCTGTTCTTAGCTGACAAGAGCAGCGAACGGCGTGGTCTTCTGCTGCTGCAGCCCATCTGCTTCAATGTGTTGTGTGTTCAGAGATGCTTTTCTGCATGCTTCGTTTGTAAAGAGTGGCTATTTGAGTAATAATTTCATTCCCATTGGCTCAAAACAGTCTGGCCAGCAGACCAGCAGTTTCTAAAATACTCAGATCATGGTGCTCAGTTTGAACTTCAGCACGTCGTCTTGACCTACATGCCTTTATAAACATATGTGACTTGATCCTTACTGCATGCCTGAATGCACTGAGTTGCTGATTGTTTGACTCCATATTTGCATCAATAGCAGATGAACATGCGTGCCTAATAAAGTGGCAGATGGGCGTCCAAATGTCTTTCCAGCTCATTCACTGTTTCCAAACAAATTCAAATGTTCCAGCTTTAACTAAACTAAGTTTAGCAGTTACTTCTTCAGTGTAGAGTCTGGTAGGTGCTGTCATTCGTTTGTTCACGCTGGTTTTTGATTTGATTAAATATGCCGTGTGTTTAGATGACCCTCTCCAACTCTGATCTGGCCTCAGTGGAGGAGCTGTTTGTGTCCCACCTGGAGGCCGACATCCCAGATTTCAGACACCTTAAAGACTGGCAGCAGAGTATGTGTGCGAATCTTTCTGTGCATGTGTGTGTGGATATTGATGTAACCACGGTAACAGATGGCGACATAAACTGGCTCGTCTTTGACAGGGGAACCTTCTGTACGACAAAAGAAGTCATCGGTGGAACTCTTTGGCGTGGTTCTGTCGGTCAACTACACAAAGGTGCACCCCTTATCCTTTTACACTCATTAACACTGTCACACTTGCACACAGACTCACACTCACTGATGTTCTCAACAGGCCACTTTAAGCAAACGAGACGTTAAAGGAGAAGCATCTATGACCTGGCGTGTGGTAATTACCTCAGAGCCGGCAGCTTCAGCGTCAGGTTTGTTGTTGGTTTTCTTTTTTTGTTTGGGTTTTTTTTTTATCAATTGCTTTATTTCATTGCAATAAGAATTATGTGGAGAAAAAACTGAGTCATCCTTTTCATTTTGTTTAGGGGAGAGTTACCTGGCTGCAAGGTTTGACTCTCTGAACCCCGCATACAACACAGTAAGACGTTATTCTCTTCTGCCTTGGATTATTGGCTAGTTATATCTCATTATGCATGATGCAGTGGAAGTGCTTTATCCATATCTGAAGGCAACCGTTAACTGAATCTGTTAATGATAGAAAATCGAAACTCGAAACATCAGCATCAGGACAATGGAGCAACGAACACTCTGCGTGTGTCTGGACAAAGACCCTCGCAGGATATACACCAATGTCCAAAAGTAATTTTATGCTTCTTCTGTTTTTACTTGTCCACTCTCACCCTTTAAGAAAAACTAACATGCTGCATTGTTCTTTTACAGAATAGAAATCTCTCCATGCTTGGACCCGGGTTGCACCATTCGGTGTAGGTACAGCATCGGCAGCGAGCAAGAGCTGCCACTCAGCAAGTATCTGGACAAAGTCATGTCACTGCCAATCAACAGCTTCTCTGGTGTCAGCATGTGAGGGACACAGGCTGACTGCTTCACAGTCATCTTAATGTTACATTAGCAAAGCATATCCGTCCACCCATCAGTTCATTTTCTTCACCTCGCATACAGTTCAGGGTCGTGGTGGGCTAGAGCTAGAGGCAGAAGCAGGTCACCTCTACATTGCAGAGTAGAATCATCTACACTGTCTTGTGTTTAGTAACATTAATGTTAATCCCTTTGGATCCTCTTAATTTAGTAACACACAATTATTTGGATTCCATTATCTCTCTCGCTAACTGAATTCTAAATGCTTACAAATCCTGTGATAAGAGTTAACGGATCCTCTACAGGAGAAAAAGTAGTTAGGTTCTACTAACTAAGAATGCAGAGCGAGTCTGCATGTTGAAGTATCCAAATGCATCGATCTACCCCTGAATGTGTGAATGTTAGAGGTGTGTATGCAACAGGAAAAAAGTGCTTGTATGAACAGGCGTGATTGGTTGAATGAGGCTTGCAGTAAAATGTGCTTTGAGTGTTTGTATTAAAGCTCTACATAAGTACCTGTCCAGTTAATTTGCTTCAAAGACAAAGTACTACAAGTATCCAAGTGCTTGTTACCTGTGGCCATCTTTCAATAATAAACTTTATATTTTATAAGCTGGTCGTGGATTTTTTATGTCATAAATCAACTTAATCAGTGCAATGAAATACTACAATAATGCCATGTGGCATCCAGCAGACGAGGTTAAAGTCCCACATGCTGGGGAGGTAAAAAGAAAGAAGAAGAAAGAAACATATATGTGATTTGAACCTCTTGATGTATGTGAATTTTTAGGGTTGAATCAAGTTGAATCACCCCATGTGACACCTGTTAGAGAGCAGAGGTGTAAAAAAACAGCATGTGCTGGAGTTTGGTATTTTCTGCTTTGTGTCAAACTGCTGTACGATGCTTTCTGCGACTTGAGCCATGATCCAGGCAAACAAACACACAAGTTTTATTGCTCAAAAGAAAAGAAGTCCGGAGATTCAAATCCCCCCAAAAAGGGGGTCATTTTAAAGTCAGCAATAATCACACTAACTGAAGTGGTTCTTACTGAAGATTTTTATCTTTGCACTGAGGAGACAAATATAAAATTCAAACCAGATGACCTGCTTTAATAACGTGTAATTGGACATCAAAACAGAGGAGTTGGAGCTCTCTGATCACTCTCTGATGAACTGCGCCTATCGCCTAATCGAGCTGCGACGATGCTCTCTGTAGTGCACACGGGCATCCACACCAACAGGAGGAGCTATAGTCGTGGGAATCTGCGCCCACAGGTGTGAACTCGCACTGCTGCTGCTGCTGAGCGCGTACCCGACTGCTACAGGTGTCCAGAGCTCAGAGCAACAAAGGTTCAAACCCGGGAGTGCGCTGTCGGAGTCGCGGGTGGGAGATGATCGACAGAAGAGGATAAGGAACTTGGGCAGAATTTAAAAGGTAAATGTTAAAACTTTGTTTTTCTTCCTTTATAAAGTTGGCGTGACGTGGACTAGTCCTCCACATCTTGCAGGCACAGGTGCGTCCAGCCTGACGGGTGGTTTCCTGACAGTCTGTCATTTCCTCGTTTTTTTCGTGTCAGCTTATTTCCTCAAACACAATGAAGTCGCTGTAGGGTGATCATTTGAGTCTGTCTGCTTCGCATGTGAGTGTGGATAAGTTACTATAAAAACAGATACTTTATTATTGTTGGAGCTACAGCGAAATAAACGAGGGCCAGCCCTCAACTCATTTATTAAGGGCCTCTATCGCATTAGGAACAGCACGAGGAATCATTTTATTACCCGAGAACAGAAATAAATCGCCTGGAGTCTTCAATTTATTTATTTAAACAACTCTATATGGCCAACATAATGGCAAAACATAACTAAAATGAATGTCCACATTTAATATTTCTTAAATGCTATACAAGGATAGCATGACAGGTGTTTACTTTGACTGCACAGATGTTATCTGTGAGCAAGTAATGGATTCATTTTTAAAAGACTGGACATGAATAACTTGAGCTTATTATATAATATTAAACTAAAGTGTATTTCTATCTAGTTTGGCATCTTGACAATCCTTTCTTTAAATATGTAACACACATTCTAGGGTCAACTTAAAAAAAAGCAGATCTGAAAATGTAAAACTGAGGTCAGAGGTCAAATGCGACTGATATTTCCACGCAAACTGTAATGTGATATTTAGAGTCCTCATACACCAGTATCATTTCCTGATTTTTGCCAATACAAACAAAGTCAGCAGAATCTAAAGCACACTTCTGAAGATAAAAGACATATTATGAAAGTTTGACTTTATTTGTCCTTAAAAAAGGTCAGAGGTCAAAGGAACGTAATATTTAGAATCCCTATATATCTATATCTATATATATATATATATATATATATATATATATATATATATATATATCTATATGCTGTCAATATAAACAATGGCAGGAAGAAACATAGTTTTAAATAGCTTTATATAGCATTATTACCACTTTGACCTTTAGATAATTTTGCCTTTCTTTAAGGAGAGGTCAGAGGTCAAATCTTTGTATGATGATGCCTGATGCCTTTTCAGAATGTATTAGTATCAAAAGACTGAAATGTCTGCACTAACATTTTTATATTTTCTCTGTCTCTCTCAGTTTGAATCGCTCCATGTGACAGCTAGCAGGACGGACTCTAAGCTGCTCAAACATGAAGAGGATCAAGCAGATTGACATAAAGCGAGCCCTCGCTATGGCTGGAACCTTTAACTTCCTGTGCTCCTGCGCTAAAGCATGCTTGCTGCCCTTCCTCACCCTGTACTTCAGACAGCTTGGCCTGACTCCTGCCATGACGGGCATCGTCATGGGTACCAAGCACTTTATTACGCTGGTGTGGAGCCCCGCGGCGAGCCTGCTCTCCAAACACTACAACAAGAGACGAGCAGTGATCTGCGGCTCTGTCGTGTTTTCGGCAGCAGCCGCTCTGCTCCTCCTGCTCATCCCGCACACGGATATGCATGCATGGACTTGTAACGCCTCGGATCCGCATGTCGGCCCACCCCAAGATCCATCTGATGTATTGTCAGTGAACATCACTGGACCTGTAACATCCCATCCAAAACCTCATGTTTCCCAGTCGCTTGTCACTCATCTTCCTGATGCTGATAGGAAAGCTCCTGTTATTGCAAATGAAACTTCACCTCATCATCATCACAATCACAGTCATACCACTGAATCTCCTCTTCTTTATGCGCCACAAAAGAATGAATCAAAGGTGCTTGAAAGTTCCAGCAGCTCTTTGGCAACTCCGGTCAGAAACAAGAGGTCTGAGCTGAAATCAGAGCAGCAAACGGGGGAGAAAAAGGATGAGAGTTCTTTGGGCTTCCTGGGCAGCCTAAAGGTGATGGACACTCAGCATCAGCTCTTCTTCTTGATACTCATCATCATGTGTGTGTGGGAGGTGGCATCCGCACCCTTGGAGTGGAATGTAGACGACGGCCTATACGAATATTTAGATTTCGCGGATGCCTCGGACCGCTACAGCAGCACCAGGGTGTGGGGTGTACTTGGAGCAGCATGCGGGGTTGGGGTAACCGGCCTGCTGGTGAGCCGACTGGCATGCCTCATAGCTGCTCAGACCTCAAGGAGTGTGGTGCATTTCTACTGCTATGCCAGCCTGGCATTTCTGGTCCTGCCCCTGGCCATGTCCCTCCCTCTCTACCTGAACAAGAAGCGAAACAGGACCAGCGGGCTCCTGAAAGCCCTGCAACTGGTGCGCGGCTCCCCACAGGCTGTGCTCTGCGTCTTCACCACCCTGCTGGTCGGGGTGGCGAACTCGGCCATCGACAACTTCCTCCTGTGGCAGATGCAGGATCGCGGAAGCAGTGAGCTGCACATGGGACTATCTCTTGCCCTCGCTCTGCTCTCGCAGGCCGCCTTCCCTCTGATGGCTGGCCGAGTCTCCAGGCTGCTCAGCCCTAGGAGGATGCTCGCAGTTGGAGCCGCGAGTCTCGGCCTGCAGTGCTTCTACTACTCCTTCCTCTGGGGAGCGTGGGCTGCACTGCCTGCTCAGGTGCTGAGTTGTTTCAGCAGCGGAGCTCTCTGGTGGGCCGTGAAGCTCCAGTGTGAGGACATCGCCACACCAGGGGCTGAGAGGAGCGTCAGGAGGGTCTACAAGTCCCTCTCTATTCATCTGGGTAGTGCACTGGGGAGTTTGGCTGGAGGGTTTGTGGCCCAAAGCATCGGGCTCACATGGATGTTCAGAGGACTGGCGATGGTTTTGATGGTGTGGTGTGTGTGCCTGCCCCTGCTCCAGTGGAAAGCCCCCCACCACCGCAGGATTAACTATTCCCGCCTGCTGGCAGCGGACGCAAGCGAGGCCAGTGACTCCGAGTCAGAACAGGAGAGAGACTGGCTTGATAAAGCAATGGAAAATGACAAAAGCAACAACAACAGTGCAAGGAAGGTAAACCACTAAAACCTCCAGACGGTGAAAATACTAAAAGGAGCATAAAGCAATTCTGTGAATAAGAAGAATAAATTCACTGTCACATAATAAATGAATCAGATTTTGCTATTAATATGGAAATGGGAGTCATCGTTCCCTTCGAGCTCTGCAGCCTTGCTTAAAGATATGTCACTCTTCATCACCAAGTTGCACAGTCCAGATGGGGATGATTAATTTCCCACCCTGACAGGATTCATTACAATCAAAAGTGTTGACTTTTCCTTCTCATTACTTTTCCATCAGAATTAAATGTTACGTCATCCAGTCTGTCCCTCCATTTTTTATTTTCTTTTCTTTTATCAATCTGCGAGTGTCAGCTCTACGGATGGATTTTGGGATTCATCTCTGGGCCTCCTGAGCTTTTACTAATGTACATTTGCATAAGCGGTTATTGTTTTCTAAAGCAAAGAAGGCAGCAGGATTACAGCCGAGCAAATCAATTACTCAGTGCCGCCGGGCAGCTTAAACAGCCTGAGGTATTGTGTTAATGGAAGCATGGAAGCTTCTCTCATGGTGTATAAACACAAGACGTGTGCAAAAGGTGAGGCCAAACTGTTGCACCACCACACCCGAACCTGCTGTTAATCAGCTGGAGGAGTCGCAGCTGACTGCTCTCACTTATCAGCTTTGTGTCTCCCTCTGGGCTCTAAACTCTGAACTGAAGATATAGATGAAGCAAGATGAAAATCTTTGTTTATGTGTATTGAACTGGGGTAACTTGAGCACATTCAGAATGTCTTGTGCAAAAATGACTTGAGTTGTACAGCCCTGAGCTGCGACGACAGTCAGAAGACACCTGTTTAAAATTTTATTTGTCTAATTTATATTTCTGCTCATGTCAGATGTTCTCTCTCCATAAAAGATGGATTTAGACTGTGAAACCTTAAATCTGCATTTCTTGCACTGACCAGCAGGGGGCAAATGCTACGTTTGGAGAAAGGACTCCAATTACATAGAAGTCTATATGAAAGAGAACCTATTTCTGAACCAATTTATCATAAATGCTTTTCCAATGAGTTTATGGTCTCAATTCTGAGCATCAAGTGTTCTTATTTTGTAAATTTTGGTCCAGTTTAGAGTTTAATAGACAATAAATGAGAGTATACTATAGGACGGGGTGGGCAACTACAGGCCCCGAGGGCCGGTGTCCTGCAGGTTTTAGATGTGTCCTTGATCCAACACAGCTGATTCAAATGGCTAAATTACCTCCTCTACATGTCTTGAAGTTCTCCAGCCGCCTGGTAATGAACTAATCATGTGATTCAGGTGTGTTGACCCAGGGTGAGATCTAAAACTTGCAGGACACCGGCTCTCGAGGCCTGGAGTTGCCCACCGCTGCTATAGGACATGGCTTCACAAGTACAAGTATAACTTCATAGAGTCCTCAGTCAGATTCAACGTTGCTCAAGATGGCTATGGCATAAACTGCTGAACTAAAAGCTTTAAAAACCAGTCAGTGGAGTAACACTGGTTAAGTCCATCTTTTGTATACAGTCTGTGGGAATGCTGTAAGTCACAGGTGTCGAACTCCAGGCCTCGAGGGCCGGTGTCCTGCAGGTTTAGATGTGTCCTTGATCCAACACAGCTGATTCAAAAGGCAAAATGACCTCCACAACATGTCTTGAAGTTCTCCAGAGGCCTGGTAATGAACTAATCATTTGATTCAGGTGTGTTGACCCAGGGTGGTATCTAAAACCTGCAGGACACCGGCTCTCGAGGCCTGGAGTTCGACACCTCTGCTGTAAGTGGAAAAAAATCCCAAAACGTTTTGTCTCCAAATGAAAACTGTGAAATCTGATATTTTACCTCCGGTTTTGTCTTCACTTAAAAGTGCTAAACATTTAATTTCTATGCAGTGAAGTAGCATTGATCTAAGGGCTCCATAAGATTATTATAGTTGCAGGGTTGTTGTTTTTTTGTTTTTTTTAATGGTATATAAAAGAAATGATTGTGATGTGTTTGGGGGGTTTGAATAATTATATTGCTACTTACTTTGCATGACCTGAAAGCCAAAGTAGATAGTAAAAACTTGAATGTGCGACACATTTTGAGCCAGTTTTAGAAACAGTGTTCACTCTGTCGGGCTTACAGATGTTCTTGCCTTGTCATATAACATGAATGGCAGTCATTTTCCTTCATGTGCTTCTGGGCTTGTGGCAACAAATGTGTGAAGTGTCTGGCTGGCTTCGTGGCTGTGGGACATGGCTATCTATGGCACAGTGGCAGCTCTAGTGTGCGGGCAGACGCATGCTGCACTCCCCGAACATCTGGCCTGCTGCCTCGAGGGCCCGCCTGCGTGAAATCGAGTTCTCTCCACTTTGTCGAGAGCTGAACTCAGTCAGGCTAGATGAAAAATTCATGATGATAGACAGCTGGATTCTCCTGTGGAGAGTGCTACTGTTGTGGTTACAGTGGAGGAAACCATTAAAACGGAAGAAGTCTGTTTAACCTTTGTTGTCTTTTGTTGTTTTAAAATGAGGATACCTTTGTGCCTTTGCCTAACATCCAGTGAACCTGTGTAGAGATTTTTTTTTATGACCACCATAGTAATCCACACTGAGATAGACTGCGATTGACGCTGATGATGATGGTTCTCTGAGAGTGGAACCATGAGAGGTATACCTGAACTTTTTGAGGGAAGGATTTGAAAGTTTGACTAAAATGTCTCCGTTCATTGATCTCCATGAATTCTGATTCAGACTTTTGTGCTCCTCTGAAGGTGAAGTGAAGGGAAGTCGGTTCAGTTTTGGATTTAAAAAAGCAGAACTTGCTTATAAAGAGATTTCGTTCCCCAACTTTGGGAAAGAGTACATTCATGACAAGCACTGCTGTCTATAAATATCACCTGGCATGGCTTTAGGCTTATAATCTGACATCCTTTAAGATCTTAATGTGACTCAGAGTGAAAGAACAAATTTAGTTTGGAGCATTTTTTTTTCTCTCTTGATGGATTTAATTATAATTTTCCACATTCTCCCACTTTGCACTCATTGCTTTGCTCCTGCCAGTCAGTAGGTGGAGCCTCGGAGCTCGCATGAGGTGCAACAGCTTTCTTTTTTCCATGCTCAGAGATCCACGGCTGTAGGACTGGATGGACTCAGCATCAGCTGGCAGCTGTCCTCTCTTTGTGTTTCCTCACACGTTTGGGCAATGCTGCATGGACCTGGGGGACACCTTTTAATATTCATTTTAAGCTTGTGCGAGAATCTCCTTTGAATTTCCTCTGCAGACAAAGAAGAAGAAGTGTCTTTTTTTTTCTTTTTAAGAAAAATGGAAAAAGAGAGAAAATCCTCTCAAGTGTGCGGCGCTCTGGAAGACACGCAGGTGGATGAAGCGGCGGAAAAAGCAGGTGACTTTCTGAGCATCGTGTTTGAGTTTGCCTGTGTGTGTGTGCTGTTGCTGCGAGAAGTGATCTAGGAAGGAAGCAGACTTTTAGATCCTTGAAGATCACCACTGTGAGCATCATGTTAAAGTTGTATGTCAGCAGGGCCGTAGCCAGGGCTCCCTCGGGCTGGGGGCGGGCTATGTGTAAGAAGTTTACTAGAATAGATCAGTTATCAACATTAATCCCATCTCGTATGGACAATTAATTAAACGATGTCAACCTTTTTTATTACAATTGTTTGTCATTCCCTAATATACTCAAATTTTAAAATATAAATACACAAATGGCAATAAAAGCAAAATGAGGCAACCAGCAACTTGGTCTGCAGCAATGTGCCTGAAAGTAATCCTTTAATTTTTTTTTGTTTTTTGTTTTTTTTTAATGAGAGCAAAAACTGTCAATCTCTTTAACTGACATATAGATTTTTTTTCTCTAAAAAAAAAAATGAAACGCAGTGGAAGATAATCTCCACGTATTCACATTTCTGTGACACAAGAAGAGGAAAAGTGGTGCATTCAGCTGAGGCGTGCACTTTTTTTTTTACTTAAAGAATGATGCAGCTGTCTGAACTCTGCAGCCCAAACAAAGTCTCCTCGGTCAGTAGTCCCAACAGCTGTAGTTTATATGCCGACCAAAATTAGAACATTTTACTTAAAATAACATTTTACTGAATTTGTAAAAAATATATATATATTTATGGGAACATCTGTATACTGTTAGGGCTATAAGTATTTGGACAATGACACTTTTTTCTGTAATTTTATCATAATTAATCTTAAATCAAAAAGTAAAAGCTGTGATTGAAGTGTGGAATTTCAGCTTATAGTTAAGAGACCTGACAGAGGTTAGAGTTAAGTGTCAATCATATATATTTCAGCCTGTAATATTCTTAATATTTATAACTGAACGATTTGTATATATTAGTGCTGTTTCTTAAATTTGTAATTTTTGTAATATATCGTATTATTTAATTAGTCTGTTACTGTCTTAGAGCAACTATAACCTACATCATTTCTTATGGATCATTAAAGTATTCTGATTGTGACCAACAAAGTTTTTCATTAATTGTTTTAGGAATAACATTTTTATGCCTTGTTCTCTGCATTCAGAGACTCAAACGTAATTAGTAATTAATGTTTTTAATGGTCCTCAGCTGGAAAAAAAGGGTGGAGTGCCCACTCCGGGTCAGGGACGAGTTCCTGCCCCAAGTGGAGGAGTTTAAGTATCTGGGGGTCTTGTTCACGAGTGATGGGAGAAGGGAGCCGGAGATCGACAGACGGATTGGTGCAGATTGTACCGGTCTGTTGTGGTGAAGAGAGAGCTGAGTGTAAAAGCGAAGCTCTCAATTTACCGGTCGATCTACGTCCCTACCCTCACCCATGGTGACGAGCTGTGGGTAGTGACCGAAAGAATGAGATCGCGAATACAAGCGGCGGAAATGAGCTTCCTCCGAAGGGTGGCTGGCCTCTCCCTTGGAGATAGGGTGAGAAGTTCAGCCATCTGGGAGGGGCTCAGAGTAGAGCAGCTGCTCCTTCACATCGAAAGGAGCCAGCTGAGGTGGTTCAGACATCTGCCAAGGATGCCCCCTGGGCGCCTCCTGGGTGAGGTTTTCCAGGCATGCCCCACCGGGAGGAGGCCCCGGGGCAGATCCAGGACATGCTGGAGAGATTATATCTCTCGGCTGGCCTTGGAACGCCTTGGTGTTCCCCCGGACAAGCTGGGGAAGGTGGCTGGGGAGAGGGAGGTCTGGGCTTCTCTGCTTGGGCTGCTGCCCCCGCGACCCGGCCCCGGATAAGCGGAAGAAGATGGATGGATATTTTTAATAGTGGGATAAAATTTAGAACTCGTGCTTCTGTGCTGTGTTTCCTGCCTTGTGTTG